TTTGTCCAGGTATTCAAAAGCCCTTTTGCCAGAGGTCAACAAATGGATGGCCTGTGGATTGTTTTTCTATAGCCCACGAGATAAACATTGTTTTTACATTTTTGTTTTTTCTGAGACAGAGTCTCGCTCTATTGCCCAGGCTAGAGTGAGTGCCGTGGCATCAGCCTCGCTCACAGCAACCTCCAACTCCTGGGGTCAAGCGATCCTCCTGCCTCAGCCTCCCAAGTAGCTGGGACTACAGGCTTGCGCCACCATGCCCGGCTAATTTTTTCTATATATATATTAGTTGGCCAATTAATTTCTTTCTATTTATAGTAGGAGACGGGTCTCACTCTTGCTCAGGCTGGTCTCGAACTCCTGACCTTGAGTGATCCTCCCGCCTCAGCCTCCCAGAGAGCTAGGATTACAGGCATGAGCCACCATGCCCGGCCTAGTTTTTACATTTTTAAGGTTGTAAAAGTGGAAAGAAGAATGTGCAACCTAGACCATATATTGCACACAAAGCCTGAAATATTTGCTATGTGGCCCTTTACATAAAAGGTTTGCTGACCTCTAGCCCCAGTCAATGACGGTATTCCCATTCTGAACTTTGCCAGAAGGGCTCGAGAATGGGCAGGTGTCCCAATCTGGCCTGTAGCATAAAATAGAAAGCATATGGGGCATTGGGGAACTTCTGGAAAGGACTTTTCTCCCTCATAAGAAAAGAAATGGATGCATCAGAGAAGTTCCCTGATGCCTTCCATCCACTCTGCCTTGGGAGTTGTTTGGTGACAATGGAGATGCAGCAGCTATTTGGCAACCATGAGGAGAAAGCCAAAAACACCGTGGGAAAGATCGCCCAGATATCTGACCTTGCTGAGTTGTTCAATTAGGCAATCCTAAAACAACGTGCTTTCCAACTTTGGTTACATGAGGAAATTTCAAAGCATCTTGAAGACGTTCTCTGGTTGTCTTTCAACTTGCAGCTAAAAATAATTCTAATATACCCCCTCTAGATAGTGAACTCTTAGAGAGCAAAGGTCTTGTTTATCACAGACTCCTTTATTTCTATAATAAGGCCTGACACAGAAATAAGTATTAAGTATCAGTTGTCTAAATCAGAGTTTCTGAACCCCAGCACTATTGAGATTTGGGCCAGATAATTCTTTGTTCTGGGGGCTGTCCTGTGCATTGTAGGATGTTTAGCAGCGTCCCTGGCCTCTACCCACTAGATGTTACTCACATCTCTTCCCCCAGGATGGAACAAAACATTTCCAGATGTTTCCAAATGTCCCTTGGGAGAACAAAATCACGCCTGGTTGAGAATCACTGGTCTAAATGAATGATTATTAGGAATTTTTTTTTTTTTTTTTTTTTTTTGAGACAGGGTCTTGCTCTGTTGTCTGGGCTAGAGTGTCGTGGCAACATCACAGCTCATTGCAACCTCAAACTCCTACACTCAAGCGATCCTCCTGCCTCAGCCTCCTGAGTAGCTGGGACTACAGGCATGTGCCACCATACCTAGCTAATTTAAAAAAAATTTTTTTTAGAGATGGCATCTTGAGATGTTGCCCAGGCTGGTCTCGAACTCCTGACCTCAAGCGATCCTCCCGCAACGGCCTCCCAAAGAGCTGGGATTACAGGTGTGAGCCCCCACGCCCAGCCATGGATGTTATTAGGAACTTCTAGTGCAAATTACTTCTGACGCAAAACCGCAGAGTCAGCGTGGGGTTCAGGCAGAGTTTGATCAAGGCCTTGGAGACCAGGGGTATGTTGAGAGGGTGAGATGGAACCACGAAGACCAACGAAGAGGAGGGAGGTGCCCACTGTAGGAATCTCAGCTCTGTGTCAGGGTGGCCGGGCCCAGAGAGAGGACCACAGAGGGTCAGGCGACAAAGATGAAAAGAAAGAAATGTGATCTTCTTGCTAATGGTATTCAGAGTCCAAAGAGCCTGTAACTTTTTGGGAGAAAGGTTATGATAAAAGGGGAAAAAAGATCAGAAGACGGCACACGAAAGTGGCTGGGAAAACACAACCCAATAATGAGAAAAGTGTATCAATGTTTCAGAGCGGTTCATGGCCACGGGTGCCCGTCTCTTTTGAACAGACTAGAGAAAAGTTTCCGTCAAACTGTTTCCTGTCAAATGCTGGCCCCCGACAGATTGTGGCATATGGAACGTGGTTTGTCTTTTAAGTCACTCGGGTTTTCTCACTCAGCTTCACCAAACTGTGGCTGTAATTGTGACAGCAAAATGCCTCTCAAATAACAGCTTTTTTTTTTTCCCCCTAAAAAGAGTGAGCATTTGAACAAGGATGTTGGGAGCAATATGCACTTCGGGGCTTCTTGGAAGACAAGCTGGATGGAGAATGTAGTTCACTACTCAGAAAAAAAAAAAAAGGTGGATTTCCTAGAAAGAGCCAGGGACCAAAAGGTGAGACAGGCCACCAGGGTTCAGATGCAGGCTGGCCCCTTGCTAGCTTTGTGGCCTTAGTGAAGCAAGCCCTGCCATTGGAACAGATTCCAAACATTTCCCAGACTTGACCCTATAATCATTAGTAGTCAAAGAAAAAATTCTGATGGGTTTTCCATGATTTCTGTCGGTTCTGTGGCTTGATGTTTCTATATCACAGGGTCCATGACAGGGGGGAGGGAAGATGGAAGAAAATGGAAAGGAGATTCTCCGTATAATCTAGCACTCCACGGCTGGGAACATTTCAAGCGTCCCTGTTGTCCCTCTTGCTGTGACTCAAATCCGTTTATGCTGATTCCTTGGGAAAGAAGTTGGTCACCACTTTCCACGCGGCCATCCATCATAGAGCAAATTGACAACGTTTAAAGGAACAAGTCCAACATCATTATTTAAAAAATAAAAAAATAGAACGCCTGTCATCCTAGCTCTCTGGGAGGCTGAGGCGGGCAGATTGCTCGAGGTCAGGAGTTCGAAACCAGCCTGAGCAAGAGCGAGACCCCGTCTCTACTATAAATACAAAGAAATTAATTGGCCAACTAATATATATAGAAAAAATTAGCCGGGCATGGTGGCGCATGCCTGTAGTCCCAGCTACTTGGGGAGGCTGAGGCAGGAGGATGGCTTGAGCCCAGGAGTTGGAGGTTGCTGTGAGTGAGGCTGACGCCATGGCACTCACTCTAGCCTGGGCAACAAAGCGAGACTCTGTCTCAAAAAAAAAAAAAAAAAATAGAGACAGGGTCTCGCTCTTGCTCAAGCTGGTCTCAAACTCCTGACCTCAACGATCCTCCCACCTCGGCCTCCCAGAGTGCTGGGATGACAGGCGTGAGCCACCGCGCCCGGCCCAGGTCCAAGATTAGAAAAGTCCTTTTTGTTTTTTAAGGGAATCCCAGTCTATCCTTCTAATAATTGAAAACACCCACTAATACCTCGACTAGATCAGTTTATTTGATGTTTGGAGAACAAACCATCGAAAGCTGCGACAGCCGGAGGAAACATTTAGGGAGAAAAAGAAAACGAAGAAAGCTCTCGAATACAGTCGCTTTTGTCAACTTTGTCAGCTGGGTGTTCCCTTGAATTACTACTGACTTTCATAATCGTGTATTAACCCAGCGTGTGGATTCAAGTCCTGTCGCAGATTGTCGTGTGCAGAGAGTAAATGCATTTTGCAGGACTGCAGGGGGGGAGAGGCCAGGCGTATTGGGGCTAAGGGCCTCCCCTTACCTATTCCTGTCTGATTTTTAAAACTGTCTCGGCTCGAGCAGGACGATATTTGCACTGAAGGATCCATCATCCTGGCGGTGTTCTGGCTCTGAGCGTTACCTTCTGAAGTCATATTCGAGCCCACTGGCTCTTCGGAATGGTAGAAAAAATGGGGGACAGAACTGATTGGACAAACCCATAAAGCCACCTGACAAGTTTCCCTATTAATATTTTATGAATGCCGCAAAGAACTCGCTTAGAGTTGAGCAAATCGGGGTCAAGACCCATTTTTGCCATTTCCTGCCCTTCTCAAGCCTCAGTTTCCTCATCTGTTGAAATGGGGCGTCATGAGAGATCCCTGTCTGACCCTACCTTTTCAGCGTTGCCTGGGGACCCAAATGAGGGGGTGGCAGGGCTTCTTAGGGTTTAAAACACACCCAAAATAAGGGTATCTCAGGTCTCCCTGTTTACTGAAAGGCGCCATTCACTTACAAACACAGAAGGATCCAGAAGCCTCTTGGAGGAAATGCCTGGGGCCAGCATCTCCCAAGATTTGCCAATCCGGGCTAATAAGATAGAAATTAAACCCCAATTACCAGGGGAGGAAAATCTGATTTATGGGGTGGTGCTTTACCTGAATATCAACTATGAATTAGGGGGTTCCGTTGCAGGGCATGCTTTAATGGCTCATCAATAAGGAGCCCACGCTAATGGACTGGCATAAAACATGCTCTGAGGAATCGGCCCTGCCTTTCCTGCCAGAGACCATAAACTCCACGTAATTTACGCGACACAAAACCTATTTTCTTCCAGTCTGTAAAACAGTAATGAGAAACACCAGGCTTGGTAGAAAAATGAGGATTTGAAAGGTCATGGGTGCTGACATATTCCCTTTCTTCATTAGGGTAAAAGTTCCATTTAATTGTCAGGCTTAGAATCTTCTAGAAGGAAAAAAAAATCACACACACACACACAAAAACTGGTTTGCACAGGGCCTTTAAGGTCTACGTACATGGGTCAGGTGTTTGTCTGCCCGTGGGCCAAAGGTTCACCCCCCAATCCTGCTGACTCTGCTTCCTAAAGCAGGACTTGGGCCTTGCCATGTCACGCTAAATATGTCCCTCATCCTGGCCTCCTCTTCGAAGCTATTTGAGGAGGAATCCCAGACTCTACAGCCTCCCCCTGCTTCTGGGAGCATGTGGCAGCTCTGTCACTGCCATGCTGGCATCTCTCAGCACCCCTGTGCCCCATGCTGCCCCACATTTCTGCATCCCCGTGGGAGAAGGCCCCCTGCACTGTTGCACCTGGTCACTCGGGTCCCCAAGGGCCGCGCTGTGCGCAGCGTCTTACCGGGTCTTTTGGGGACTTCTTGGCTCTTCCCTCTGTCTCTGCTCTTCTCTGGGACTCAAGACCAATTCATCAGACAAAGCTGGGCGGCAAAACTCTCCGGTGTCCTCATCTCTTCCTTCTTCTCCCTGCCCTTCCACAAACAAACAGATCCATAAATCCTTATTTCCCTTCTGCCAATGAAACAAAAGCCACCTTACAGAATGACCCGTGAACTGAATGCCTACCGGAATCACCGGCCCATAATCAAAAGCGGGCAACACCGAGGGCTGGGTGAGGCTGCAGAGAAACTGGAACCTTCCTGCTACCCTGCAGATGTTGGACGGTGCAGCCACTTTGGGAGACAGTCTGGGAGTTCTTCCAAAACTGAAACCCAGAGTCACCACAGTGCTAAGGGCCGTTCCACCCCTGGGTATATATATATATGCGAGTGAGACTAAAACATATGTCCACATGGAAATTTGCACATGAATGTTCATAGCAGTGTTATTCATAACAGCCCCAAGTGAAAGCAAATATCCATCAACTGAGGAATGGGTAAATAAGGTAGTGTATAAGCATGCAATAAAATATTCTTATGCTATAAAAAAGAATTAAGTACTGATACAAACACATGCTACAACATAGATGAGTCTTAAACATATTATGCAAAGTGAAAGCAGCAAGATATAAAGGCCACATACTGTCTGATTCCATTTATAGGAAACTTCCAGAACAGGCAAATTCATGGAGACAGAAAGTAGACTGGTAGTTACTAGGGGTATGGGGAATAGGGTATGGGGTATAGGATATGAGGTATAGGAGGAATGGGGAATGACAGCTAATGGGTAGTCTTTGAGGTTTTTAGTTTTTTTATTTTTTCTAACTTTATTGAGGTTTGATTGACAAAAATTGCATGTATTTAAGGCGTTCAACATAATGTTTTGATATATGCATACGCTGCAAAATGATTACCACAGTTAAACTAAGTTGGGTCTTTTTGGGGTGAAGAATATGTTTTGGAATTAGTGGTGATGGTTAAGCAGCTCTGTGAATATACTATAGCTGAAAGGGTTCAGTTTTATGGTATGTGAATTATATCTCAATTTAAAAAACAAAATTTTTTTTTTAAGTAAGAAATAGGGGAAAAGAATGAGCGCTCTAATTCCTTCTAGCAAAAGCAGGGTTGGCCTAGGCTGATGCATTCCACTACACTTACCAAGGATTGCAGCAAAGTTGCAAGTATTAGAAAGGCTGCCCTACCCTCAAATACCTCCCCACCTACTCCCTGAAGCCTGGGATTCCACTGTGGACTTGCATTCTTGCCTAAGTATTTTAATACTTTGCTCTCACCCTCCACATTCACGGGGTAATCTCTGGGACCAATCTCGTCTCTAAATGAAGACAAGCATAACACAGTATTTTTTGCCTTCAAGGAATGCCGGATGATAATGGTTTGGTGGAAAGGTTGCAAAACAAACAAACACATGAAATCTGCATTTGACCTGAAATCAGAGGTTTTTTACTTTCTTTTTTCTGTATTTCAGTAGGAAGTTTGAAAGAAATCAGACATGCAACTTATTTATAGACAATTCAATGGAACTAGTAAGTGTGATTTAGTTATTTATTTGTTCTGGCTGGGGGCAGTAGCTCACACCTGTAAGCTTAGCACTTTGGGAGGCTGAGGCAGATGGATCTCTTGAGCTCAGGAGTTCAAGACCACCCCGAGCAAGAGACCCCCATGTCTATAAAAAATAGAAGACTTAGCTGGGCATGGTGGCGGGTGTCTGTAGTCCCAGCTACTCAGGAGGCTGAGGCAGGAGGATCGCTTAAGCCCAGGAGCTCGAGATTGCAAAAAGCTACGATGATACCATTGTACTCTAGCTCGGGCAACAGAGCAAGATCCTGTTTAAAAAAAAAAAATTCAATAATTACTTTTATGGAAGCCCTCTGTGTACCAGAGTCAAGGTTCTGAGGAGAGGACATTATTATTAAAAAAACAAAACAAAACAAAACAAAATACCACCATGGATCTTGGAGCTGAAACGCCTATATTTGAAGTCCAGTTCTATCACATGACTTTGAGCAAGCTATGCAAACTTTCTGTTCTACTTCCTCACCAGCAAAATGAGGATAATAATAGCACCTACCTCCCAGTATAGTTGTGGAGATTAAATGAATTAATACATGCAGAGATTTTATTTATTTATTTATTTATTTTTTTGAGACAGAGTCTCACTCTGTTGCCCAGGCTGGAGTGAGTGCCGTGGCGTCAGCCTAGCTCACAGCAACCTCCAACTCCTGGCCTCAAGCGATCCTCCTGCCTCAGCCTCCCGAGTAGCTGGGACTACAGGCATGCGCCACCACGCCCGGCTCATTTTTTCTATATATATTAGTTGGCCAATTAATTTCTATTTTTAGTACAGACGGGGTCTTGCTCTTGCTCAGGCTGGTCTCGAACTCCTGACCTTGAGCGATCCTCCCGCCTCGGCCTCCCAGAGTGCTAGGATGACAGGCATGAGCCACCAAGCCCGGCCACTTGTGTTCCTGATTACTGCTGTATCTCCAGCACTTGGAACGGTGCCTGGCATGTCATAGGGGTCCCGGGAATACTTCTAGAAGGAGGGAGTGGCACCCCAGCGCTCAGCACAGGGCCTTGTTGCTGACGGGCCTCTACTGACGACCTCCCTTCTGGGAACACCCGCCCATGCCCTGCCTCTGAGCCTCTGCCTCTGGGCCCCCCCCCCATGGCCAGGGGGTGGGGGGAGGCCAGAGACTCTCTCCACCGCCCAGCATCATTTACCTGGCCCTGGTGTTGACGCCTCCCATGCACTAAGGCATTCATCATTTCTTAGAAATTTGAACTTGGGACTCAGAGATTCCGGTTCACAAGTAAAAGTCGGTGCTTAAAATGAGAGGCTGGGGTGGTCCGGTCTCAAGGGGGATCAAAGCAGAAAAGCCTGCGTGCAGCCAAAGAGGAGAATCAAAGCAACTGCAGAGAGGAAGTGAGGAGAGGAGAGGAGACAGGGAGGAGGGCGGGGGGAGGGAGGGTCCGGGCAAGTGAACTTGCCGATTTGAGTGTGCTGAGTTCTCAGCTCTGCACCCCGTGCCCGGCTACACTTCCACGGGTGGCTGTTTCTTTCGGCTCATGTCGGTTTGGTTAGGTTTCTATTTCTTGCAAGCAAATAATTCCTAACTGCAAAATCCTAGCACATGGGAGGCATCCTCAGAACCTTTGTTGACTTGAATGCATGTTCTTTTTTTTTTTTTTTTTTGAGACAGAGTCTCGCTTTGCTGCCCAGGCTAGAGTGAGTGCCGTGGCGTCAGCCTCCCTCACAGCAACCTCAAACTCCTGGGCTCAAGCGATCCTCCTGCCTCAGCCTCCCGGGTAGCTGGGATTACAGGCATGCACCACCATGCCCGGCTAACTTTTTCTATATATTGTTTTGTTGGCCAATTAGTTTCTTTCTATTTTTAATAGTGACCGGCTCTCGCTCTTGCTCAGGCTGGTTTCGAACTCCTGACGTCAAGTGAGTCACCCGCCTGGGCCTCCCAGAGTGCTAGGATTATAAGCGTGACCACCATGCCCGGCCTGACTCTCCTTTGTTAAACTCTTTAGTGTGCCATCTGCTCAAAGCCAAGACTCTGACCCATTGCACTAATTAGAATTAATGTAACAAATTCTAATTATAATTAATACAAATGGAATTACATTAGAAAATGAATATGATTTGCCTACATTAGTTTTCCTTCCCTCCACCCCACTATGTTATACAAATAATACATATTAGCATAGAAAAAATGTGAAAATACAAAATGAAAAAAGAAGCATCATATTTAATCTTACCCCTAGATGATACAATTACATTGTTACACCTTGGGATATAATTTTCCATATTTTATTCTTTGCATGTAAATACATATACATACAGGGTTTTTTTTTTTCAACAAAAGTGGAATGATTATGTTTTTAAATGGAAAGTTCTCAAAAGTAAAAATGTGTAGAATATATAGTCTACTTCCCCTGCTAAAACATGTAATAGAAAGGTATTATTTGCAGGTTAGATTTTAATCATATAAAAATTAATGTTATACTTATAGAACATTACTATTGTTATAATAACTTCATTTTTTTCAAAACAATTACAAAATAACCATGTTCAGAGTTCTCACTTATAAGCAAGTGACTTTCAGAGTTTACTCAGGTCAGGAAAAATATGTGTGAGGAATATTTTTGGATTTGACTGGTTTTCAGTGACTTTCTTTGTCTGTCATAATAAAAAGGAAAAAAGGCAGAAAACTGAAATGAGTTGGAACATTTTCTAATTTCTATTTCTATCTGTAGGTATATATTTAGCTCTGAATGAGAATATAGCATTTTCCCTAGGCACTTTACTTTAAAAGAATGAAAAAAACTTTCCAAGTACTGGTGAGTATTTCAAAACACACAAAAGCTATGTTTTGCACAATCAGAATGGAATTTGATTCAGCAATGCCTTTTAAACAAGGCAGAAGGATTTGGGACCCTGTGTCCTAACCAAGAATTAGGCTGAAACCAATCACAAATGCTGTTCTCACCAACTGGCAGTTCTACAAATACAATAAATATGAAGGCTACTTCAGAACCTGATATGGTGTGCTTTGAAATGAGTGTGCTCTCATTTACAGGCCCAAGTGATCCAGACTGATCTAAGATAACAAAGTATTCATCCACCAAAATGAACTGGGAAAGACATTCACTCATGCAAACCTTATGGGCCATTCAGATTTCTATGCAATCATGTATGTGATCTAGTATCTTCACTTTCTCATGTGTCCACTGTTCCTTTCTCATAGTTTCTAAGACAAGAATAACATAGATTTTTCCTCCCATCTTGCGAAAACACTGTCTTCATTAACACAACCCCATTAATTCAGTTTTCTAAATCATTTATTTTTTACAGTAATTTCTAAGGGATTTCCCCCGGCATGCATCTGTTCTCTGGCTCACCCGCCACTCCCTCATGGCTCTGAAAAAGTCTTGGCTTGGATGTAAACCTTCCTCCTCTGGCCTGGTCTTCCTTCCCCAGTTGCAAGGAGAACTGCTGAGTCAGCCAGACGTCTGACTCTTTCTCCTACGCAGTTCTTGTAAATGTGGTCTAGAGACATGATCTCCACGGTTTTCCAGAACTTTATGATTATCAGAGCTTTTGAAGGCACGCCTAAAGAGATGCAAAGGCACTAAACCCACCAGCAGTGATTGCAAGGCAGGGTCTACTCCAGTTTGACAAGGTCTGCTGGGGAAGGTGAGGGTGTGCACTATGGCCACTCTATTCTCCTGGCCTCTGTTCAGCCCTTCCAAGACTCTGCTCTCAGAAACCCACATTCTCTGTATATCCCAGTAGACACTCTCAGGCTGTAAGGCTGGTGGCGGCCACCCCCTCCCCTTCCCTAGATCAAAAAGAAAAGGCTCACAAGACCAGACCCACCAAGGATAAACTCCCAGGCCCCGCTGAGAATAACCACACCCAGATGTCCACCCCGATAGGAACGTTTCGGCTCCTGGGTTCCACAAATACCACCAGCCCCTCCTATTTCTCAATGACCACCCAAGGTCACAGTGGAAAATCCCCAGCTCTTCCCGCCAAAAGTCCCTAGCCCGGCCCAAACGGTATAAAAGGCCTCACCATCTTCAAACGGATGTGACTTCTTGAGCTTTCCTCTCTTGGGACCCTAGAACCTCGCCCGGGAGCGCTAAATAAAGCCACGTGGTTTGGCCCCCACTCTTTCTCTCTCTCTCTCTCTGTCCGTTTCTTTCACCGCTGAAAAACTTTACACAGGTGAATTAACAGACTTGAGGGCATTTTCCAGCATTTACTGTAGGGTTCATCTCGTGTGTTAGTTTAATTCACTTGAAGGCTCTAGCGAATGTTCCATTCTAAAGTGCACTGGAGGCCGGGCGCGGTGGCTCACGCCTGTAATCCTAGCACTCTGGGAGGCCGAGGTGGGCAGATTGTTCAAGGTCAGGAGTTCAAAACCAGCCTGAGCAAGAGCGAGACCCCGTCTCTACTATAAATAGAAAGAAATTAATTGGCCAACTACTACATATAGAAAAAATTAGCCGGGCGTGGTGGCGCATGCCTGTAGTCTCAGCTACTTGGGAGGCTGAGGCAGGAGGATTGCTTGAGCCCAGGAGTTGGAGATTGCTGTGAGCTAGGCTGACCCCACAGCACTCACTCTAGCCTGGGCAACAAAGCTAGACTCAGTCCCCCCCCCAAAAAAATAAATAAAAATAAAGTACACTGGAGGCTGAGCACGGTGGCTCACGCCTATAATCCTAGCACTTTGGGAGACCGAAGTGGGAGGATTACTGGAGCTCAAGACCGGCCTGAGCAAGAGCGAGACCCCATCTCTACTAAAAATAGAAAAAATTAGCCAAGCACGGCAGCACACATCCGTAGTCCCAGGCACTCGGCTGAGGCAGGAGGATCGCTTGAACCCAGGAGTTTGAGGTTGCTGTGAGCGAGGCTGACGCCATGGCACTCTAGCCTAGGGAACAGAGAGAGAGAGACTCTGTCTGAAAAAAAAAAAAAAGTGCATTGGTTGAAGGATTAGAGATCTCTTTGCCTACTTGGCTTCCACCAGACCTTCTTGTGCTAATAGCACGTAGATTTTCCTTTGGGGAGCCATTCATGCCCTCTCCTAATCCAGCTGTCTTGGTGGTGCTGTCCACAAACCCTACCCACACCTCCCCCTCTCATGGCTCACAGAAAGGACACAAGACTCAATCAACACATTTCATTCTTCCACATTCTTCCATTCTTTCATTGGTTCAGAAAATGCATTATCTAAAATGGGTCAAAAGAGATGCAATCCCTGACACTTTTTTGCTAGAAAGATTAGAACAAAGAAACTCTTTCTCCTGGACTTGCAGGTGTTGATGCATAGGCATGGAACATCTGAATACTAGCAATGACAGTATGCTGTAAATGGAACCAACGTGGAAGACAGTACATCTGACAGCCCCACGTGAGCACCTAGAACCAGCTGTACCTGAAGCTCTGAACTACTCAGCTACATGAGCCAATAAACTAGTAAATGAATTACCTTCTCATGTGTGTGCTTAAATGAATGAGCTATTTTTAAATTTTTTGTCACTTGCAACTCCATGAGAAGGATCAATAGCAAATAGCATCTATCAGGTTAAGCTTGGGGCCATAAATCCTTAAGCTAATTTGGCATTCGTGCTCTCATCATTCAACAATTCTCTTATCATCTCATCTGTCTCCCTTACTGCCTGCAATAATTGGCCTGACCCACGGCTTTGGTTCTTAGTGTAAAAGAAGCAGCTCCAGTAGAGCAAATGAGTGGTACTGCGAGCACATTAATGTTTCTGACCCCAGGATGTCGTCTTTTAAATAGGTTATGTGTGTGCAATGCTGCAACCGGCCATCCGTACTGCTTATTTAAGCTCTGTAATGAAATAGCTCGGGCCCTCATTGTTTATTTATGTGATACAGGCAGCCTCCCTCTAAATTCTAATTCAATCTCGAGTCACTGTTTGGTAGGCTAGGCGCTCTAATGACTGCAAAAGAAACGTGTGCTGCTTCAGATGGCGCTATTAAAAGAAAATTGTTCCCACCGAAATTCTTATCTCCTGATTTGGGGGGGTGGGGGGTGGGTAGCTAAATCACCATAAATTATGGGAAAGGAAATTGCAAACTGTCTTGCTTTCTCTTTAGGGGAGGCATTGTTTTATCACAACTGTCAAGCAGAGCGTACACCTATTTTGAAAAGCTTTTTACAACTTTGAATTAAGCACAAATGGAGAAATAAGAGGCTGCATAATTACAGCAGCTAATGGAGCCCTGCTTTTGCAAGAAGGTTTTCACCGTGATTTTTTTTTTTGCTTTGCAAATGGTACCAGCAAGGGGCGGGAGGGGGGAAAAGGAGAGAAAAGCAACCGCATGAGACGCAGTTAAGAGAAACAACCATCAGCGAGGGACCAGGCAGGAGAATTGTAAGAAATCCTGAAAAAAAAAAAAAAAAAAGCTGAGGCCTTTAGGATGTCATTCATTGCCCTGGGGCAGAGAAAAAGGGTAGGGAGGAGGCAGGAGTTGGAATTTGTTCCATCTGAATAAGTACAGTCACTCCATCTGCTCAAGTTGATGGGAACTCCGATGTTATAAAAATGGCAAAAAGAGTGGCTTTTTCTCTTGCCTGGCCATCGCAGGTGATTTGAGCGGCCCCAGGTGCACTGTGGTGGCCGTTCCCACTAGCCACTCTCTCTGGACAAGCGTGTCGAGGCCAGCAGAGGGAGCGCAAGGTTAATGGGAGGGTTGCAAGCTCCACCGAGGGCTCCCTTAGCAGGACTCCCCAGTCTAGTTTGCAAGGTGAACCTCGCTTTCTCCAAGTCCCCTTCTCTACCAACCTCCCTTCCTCTCCCCCTTTCCCCACCCTGTCCCCAAAACAGCCCCCGCCGCCCCACCCACACCCTCTGATCGGGAAACATTTGGAAGCATTTTAACCACAGGGATCCCAGGTTGGCATTCTGGCAGCTGCTCACGATGGACAGGAAAGGCAGGCCCCAACGTGGGCCAAACATTTAAAATCATGCTGAAATCAAAGAATTTTGAATGCCAAGCAAACATGCTTGTGATATGATACTAAGCAAAAATAATAGGTTGCAAAATCGTGTCTACAGTAGGATCTCAAATACATGATGATTTTTTTTTTTTTTGAGACAGAGTCTCACTCTGTTGCCCGGGCTAGAGTGAGTGCCGTGGCGTCAGCCTCGCTCACAGCAACCTCCAACTCTTGGGCTCAAGCGATCCTCCTGCCTCAGCCTCCCGAGTAGCTGGGATGACAGGCACACACCATGATACCCTAGCTATTTTGTCTATTAGTAGAAACGAGGTCTCGCTCTTGCTCAGGCTGGTCTTGAACTCCTGAGCTCAAGCGATCCTCCCGCCTCAGCCTCCCGAGTAGCTGGGACTACAGGCATACGCCACCATGCCCAGCTCATTTTTTCTATATATTTTTAGTTGGTCAATTAATTTCTTCCTATTTTTAGTAGAGACCAGGGTTTGCTCTTTCTCAGGCTGGTCTCGAACTCCTGGGTTCAAGCAATCCTCCTGCCTCAGCCTCCTCCCGAGTAGCTGGGACTACAGGCATGCGCCACCATGCCCAGCTCATTTTTTCTATATATTTTTAGTTGGCCAATTAATTTCTTTCTATTTTTAGTAGAGACCAGGTCTTGCTCTTGCTCAGGCTGGTCTCAAACTCCTGAGCTCGAGCAATCCTCCTGCCTCGGCCTCCCAGAGAGCTAGGATTACAGGCATGAGCCACCGAGGCTGGCCAATTTTTTTTAATCATAGGGGGAAAAAAAGAACAGAAATGTGTCAAATTAAGAGTTGTTTCTCTAGAGTGTGATGTGTTTGGAGGTGGGTAGGATTTGAGAGATGATTTTTTTCTTGCTTCATTATGTATTTCCCTACTTCAAACGTATATACATTGTGCACACTCAATGTATACAATGTATACAGTTAGTCAATAGGCTTTGATCATCATAGGGAAAAATGAAACATTGTAAATGCTTGTGTGCATTTTATATGTTCATATGTAATACTCTGTTTAATAATGCCATAGAAAATGTCCATGCGACCATACTAATTAGCAACACAGAAGCAAAGAAGAAAATGAGCTCTTGGGGACATAAAAAAAAAAAAAAAGAAAGAAAAGAAAATGAGCTCTTGAGTCCTAGGTACCAGGGACAGTATTAGCAGCAGGGGAATAGCAGGCTAAGTTAGACACACTCTGACCTCGGGAAGCTTATGGTTACACTCGTCATCTTAGTTCCTTCTCACAATGACTCTACGAGTGGCTTAGTCTATTCCTGCTGCCATAACAAAATACCCCAGGCTGGGTCATTTATCAACAATAGAAATTTGTTTCTTACAGTTCTGGAGGCTGGGAAGTCCAAGACCACAGCATGAGCAGATCTGGTGTCTGATAAGGACTGTCCATAGACGGCCATTTGTCACACAGTGGCAGCAGCGTCACCTGGTAGAAAAGGCAGAAGGGACAAGCACTGTGTCGTCACGTGGCAGAAGAGATAAAGGGGCAAGAGCGGCCGGGCGCGGTGGCTCACGCCTGTAATCCTAGCACTCTGGGAGGCCCAGGTGGGTGGATTGCTTGAGCTCAGGAGTTCGAAACCACCCTGAGCAAGAGCGAGACCCAGTCTCTAATAAAAAAAAAGAAAGAAATTAATTGACCTACTAAAAATATATATACAAAAAATTAGCCGGGCATGGTGACACATGCCTGAAGTCCCAGCTACTCGGGAGGATCGCTTGAGCCCAGGAGTTTGACGTTGCTGTGAGCGAGGCTGACGCCACGGCACTCACTCTAGCCTGGGCAACAAAGTGAGACTCTGTCTCAAAAAAAAAAGGGGGGGGGGAGAGGGGGCAAGAGGGACGAATGTCCCCTTACATACCCATCTTTTGTAAGTACACTGAGCCCGTTCATGAGGGCTCCACACTCGTGACTCGGTGACCTCCTAAAGTCCCTAGGTCTTAACACCATCACGTTGCCATTGAGTTCCAACACATGGATTTTCGGGGGACACGTTGAGACCACAGCAGTGAGGTAGGTAGTAGTGTCCTGAGTTTTACAGATACATTTGGGTCTCTTAAAAATATACTTATTTATTTAAGAGATGGGATCTTGCTATGGTGCCCAGGCTGGAGTGCAGAAGCTATTTACCAGCACCATCCCACTAAGATTAGCACAGGAGCTCTGAGTCGCTCTGTTTCTGACCTGGGCCAGTTCACGCCTTCTTAGGCAATTGGTGGACAATTGCCTAAGGTCCCCCCTTCCAGAAGGTCAGCATATCTATTCTGGACTTGGTGCAGACACCCCATTGGCATAAAGCACGACAGCCCAGAACCCCTGGGCTCAAGCCATCCTCCTGCCTCAGCCTCCGGAGTAGCTGGGACTACAGGTGTGCGCCACCACGCCCGGCTAACAGATAAATTTGCATGAGTGAGTGACGGGGGCCACTTAGCTATTCCATGGCCGGACAGAGTATAGTTGATTTTCGTCTCTAAAACCTTGTCCCCTTCCCAAGTTTCAGTAAGAGTTACGATTTTTGCCATTTCCCAGCTCATAATTATTACGTGAGCGATTTAATTACCACTTTCTTTTATCTCAATTGATTTTGAAATGAAACATATTTTACAAGAAGCTTCATGCTACTACTATCAACTCAAATCAGAATTATTTTCCATAAAATAAAAGATAACTATTAAATGAGCATAATTAAAAAAAATTACATGCTATTGCTCAGGAATTTCCCTCTTTTTTTAAAATTTTTTATAGCAATGATCTTATTTTTTAAATTTTTTGTGCCAATGATTTTAATGAAAGTAAAATATCAATTTGAATACTTTTGACTGAAACATCCTATTAAAAGAAAGATCATGTCTGAACGCTTCTAACCTGGAATTAAAATGGCTCTACTTTAATGAATGGGAGAGTCTGTAATCTTGTTTTTTTTTTGTTTTTTTTGTTTTTTTTGAGACACAGTCTCACTCTGTCACCCGGGCTAGAGTGCTGTGGCATCAGCCTCGCTCACAGCAACCTCAAAACTCCTGGGCTCAAGCCATCCTCCTGCCTCAGCCTCCCAAGTAGCTGGGACTACAGGCATGCGCCACCATGCCCGGCTAATTTTTTCTATATATTTTTAGTTGGCCAATTAATTTCTGTCTATTTTTATTAGAGACGGGGTCTGGCTCTTGCTCAGGCTTGTCTCGAACTCCTGACCTCGAGCGATCCTCCCACCTCGGCCTCCCAGAGTGCTAGGATGACAGGCGTGAGCCACCGTGCCCGGCCAAGGGTCTGTAATCTTTGATGCACATGTTTTAGAAGAAGACTGAAGGAAGAGTAGCAAGTATGAGAGAGGTGTTAAAACCACGCTATCACCTCACTGAGGTTTTCTTCCTGACATAATCAGAAGGTCTGAGCAAATCCTAGATGGCAACAGCTTTGTATGCAATTTAATGCATACTATAAATGACACCAACTGGGGCTTTGAGAAACAAAGTCCTGTTTGGTGCAAAGCCAAGAGAAAATATCCCAGCCAGAGCAGAACAGACAAATGTAGCAGCAGAAAGACAAGGCTTAGGTGAAAGAATACATAAATCAAATTTCATAACCATGACTCTCCAGGTTAAGGGATTATCAGTTTTTCGGATAACAAGTCATAGTTATTTTGGAAATATAAGCATCAACTGCAATAGGAAAGGAAAAGCCATTTTTTTTTAAGACTAAAAATGTATTGCTCAGTGCAAGGCTGCAGTGAGCTAGGATTGTGTACCAGGGCACCCCAGCCTGGGCAACAGAGTGGGACTCTGTCTCCAAAATAAAAATAATTAAAAGAAAAAAAAAAAAAAGCCAGAGGAGAAATCAAAGAGCAGAGACATATATAGACAGGGATGCTGAAAAGAATTTGCAAATGGACACAAAACTATCTTCTTCGGCAATGGGTGAGGGAAATCAATTAATTGTCCACAGGACAGCATTTCCTTGCCACGACTATGGACAAGAATTATTTGCATTACTATTAGTTTCATTCTCAACTTCTGAATTGTTTTGGTCAATACAGAAATCTAAAGATGTATATTCCCTGTGAGATTACATGATCCCCGGAGACTTAGGTATTCCACTGAAAGAAGATCCAATCACTTCATCTATTTATTCCAAAGTCTTAAATTTTGCCTTTCACTTATATTAAGACCTGATACAAAGAAGTGACCACCATTTTTTTCTTTTTATTTTTTTTGAGACAGAGTCTTGCTCTGTCACCCTGGCTAGAGTGCAATGGCGTCATCATAGCTCACTGCAACCTCACATTCCTGGGCTCAAGCCATCCTCCTGCCTCAGCCTCCCAAGTAGCTGGGACTACAGGCACATGCCACTATACCCAGCAAATTGTTTTTTCTACTTTTTGTAGAAATGGGGTCTTGCTCTTGCTGAAGCTGGTCTTGAACTCCTGGCCTCAATCTATCCTCCTGCCTCGGCCTCTAAGAGTGCTGGGATTATAGGCGTGAGCCACTGCACTTGGCCTATTTTTTTAAAATAGCATATTTACAATCAAAAATGCATCAAGTAGAAAACAACTGTTCACAATTAATAATAGGTGACATTAAAATATCACCAATGATTCTATTGTACTATAATTACATAACTAATGGAAAATATGGAATAGATGAACTTTAAGGCCCCTTCCAATTGTAAAATTGTAGTATCCTGTCACCTAGCATGTTACAATGTTTGTTCATATCTTACTGAACCTAAGTTTCAAAGAGGTGAGGAGTAAATTGAAAATCAACCCGAAACAAAGATAAAAAATATTTCTGAAATTTAAATGTAATTAAAAATAAAAGTTGATAATAGAAAAACAAAATGGAAACAACTTCCGGTAAAATTTGAATTATGTAAAGCCAGGCTTTTCCTTATTTAAGAAATACTGAAAATGACAACTATCAAAGTCGAAAAGTGACAAAATCTCTGACTCAGTGTCTTGATAGAGAAATTGATGGCAACACAATTTGCAAGACTTTCTTCAAAGTGATGTTCATAATGATTTTTTTTTTTTTTTTTTTTTGAGACAGAGTCTCACTTTGTTGTCCAGGCTAGAGTGAGTGCCGTGGCATCAGCCTCGCTCACAGCAACCTCCAACTCCTGGGCTCAAGCGATCCTCCTGCCTCAGCCTCCCGGGTAGCTGGGACTACAGGCATGCGCCACCATGCCCGGCTAATTTTTTTTATATATATATCAGTTGGCCAATTAATTTCTTTCTATTTATAGTAGAGACGGGGTCTCGCTCTTGCTCAGGCTGGTTTTGAACTCCTGACCTTGAGCAATCCGCCCGCCTCGGCCTCCCAAGAGCTAGGATTACAGGCGTGAGCCACAGCGCCCGGCCATAATGATTTTTTAGTGACTTTTTAACTCATCCCTTTGCAAGTCCTGAAACACTGTTTCAATAACAAAAAGCATCATTTTATACAGTAAAAAAAGGCCACTTGAGGTCCATTTCCTAAGCAATTAAGGTAATTTGAGGATGTTTGGAAGTTTATTTCTTAATTTCATGGAGACACAAACACAGGTTTCCGACGAAGTCCTGTGAGTTTCTGAACATTTTCCCACTGGCTCCAGATTGGCTGGTTCTTATTTATGGTAGTGGGGCAATTCTCTATGACAAACCGACAACTCAACGATTCTCTCTCAGCCATTTAAACCACCCAAGCTGTCCAGTACATTTAGTGAACACAACAAAGGCATTCGAATGACATTTCCTTCTATTCACAAAAACTTCAACTTTTATGTTCAGTAATTAATGGCACTGTTTAACCAGGGATGGCATTACAAAATAGGGGCGGTTATTATTTACCATGGCCTGTGTAATAAAGTGTCAGAGGTTATCACAACAGGATATCTGTGTTTAAATGGAAAGAGATAAAGGGACACAGTCAAGCCAGTTATCCCTGTTTTGCTTTCCAGCTGGAGGGAAGTCTGCTAAAATAGACTTCTAAACATCTCACGCTGCAGTCTCAGCACAAATGGCAATTTTAGTGTTCTAGCCCTTCTTTCCTTCCAATTGTGGGTGACAGTGAATATAATAAAAACGTAACTCTAATTGAGTACCTGAGATGTGCAGTATTTTTTCTCTTATATCTTCTTATGATCTGTATATAGCATGCATTTGCATACCTGTCTTACAGAACAAGGCAGCTAGAAGGTTCTAGAGGGTTCTAGAAGCAATCTGGAAACAGGGGAGATGTGCAGTATTTCTCTTATATCTTCTTATGATCTGTATGTAGCATGCATTTGCATTCCTGTCTTACAGAACAAGGGCAGCTAGAAGGTTCTAGAAGGTTCTAGAAGCAATCTGGAAACAGGGGAGATGTGCAGTATTTCTCTTATATCTTCTTATGATCTGTATGTAGCATGCATTTGCATTCCTGTCTTACAGAACAAGGGCAGCTAGAAGGTTCTAGAAG